TGCATTCCCTTCAGTAGCACTCGAAATCGAACTGAACAACTCCGGAGTCGCGAACTCAGGCGAGACGAAGAACCGCATACACCGCCGAGTATCACCGTAATCCCGGGCGTTGAGCAACCTCTCAAAGTGGAAGGCGCCCCTCAAGTACAGCACACAATTCTGGTGCAGCCCCCGGGCCACCTCAGCAAGCCATGGCGCGGCGGTGGCGCGGCGCGGGCCCCGCGCGCCGAGCAGGCCGAGCCAAAGTGGGGCACTTGAGAGGAGGAGGAGGAGGAGGAGGAGGAGGAGGAGGAGGAGGAGGAGGAGGAGGAGGAGGAGGAGGAGGAGGGAGGAGGAGGAGAGGAGGAGGGAGGAGGGGGAGGAGGATGGAGGAGAGGAGGAGGAGGAGGAGGAGGAGGAGGAGGAGGAGGAGGAGGAGGAGGAGGAGGAGGAGGAGGAGGAGGAGGAGGAGGAGGAGGAGGAGGAGGAGGAGGAGGAGGAGGAGGAGGAGGAGGAGGAGGAGGGAGGAGGAGGAGGAGGAGGAGGAGGAAGGAGGAGGAGGAGGAGGAGGAGGAGGAGGAGGAGGAGGAGGAGGAGGAGGAGGAGGAGGAGGAGGAGGGAGGAGGAGGAGGAGGAGGAGGAGGAGGAGGGAGGAGGAGGGAGGAGGAAGGAGGATGGGGAGGAGGGAGCAGAGGAGGAGGAGGAGGAGGAGGAGGAGAGGAGGAGGAAGGAGGCGGAGGCGGAGGCGGAGGCGGAGGCGGAGGAGAAGAAGGAGGAGGAGGAGGAGGAGGAGGAGGAGGAGGAGGAGGAGGCGGAGGAGGCGGAGGAGGCGGAGGGAGGAGGGAGGAGGGAGGGGATGAGGGAGGGAGGAGGAGGAGGAGGGGAGGAGGGAGGAGGGAGGAGGGAGGAGGGAGGAGGGAGGAGGAGCGAGGAGGTAGGAGGGAGAAGGGAGGAGGGAGGAGGGACGAGGGACGAGGACGAGGGACGAGGAGGGAGGAGGGCGGAGGGAGGAGAGAGTGTATGTGCAAACGAAGCCTCCTTGTCGCGCATCCTCACTGTCAGTGTTGACTGCAGCTGGAGGCCGGTCGGGGGGCGTGAGGCGCGCGGGCGGACCTCGTGCGGCGGGTGTACGTGGTGCTCACCGCGGGGCTCGGGGTGCGCAGCGCCCCCTGCGGCAGGGAGGGCGGAGTAGGGAGGAGGGAGGAGGGAGGAGGGGGGAGGGCGGAGGGGTGCGGGCCCGCCAGGACCAGGGGAGGGAGGAGGGAGGAGGGAGGAGGGAGGAGGGAGGAGGGAGGGGGAGGAGGAGGAGTAGGGAGGAGGAGGAGGACGGAGTAGGGAGGAGGGAGGAGGGAGGAGGGAGGGGGGGTGCGGGCCAGCCGGGACCCCCGATCGGGGTGGCATTCTGATCCGGGACCACCCTCCCCCACCACAGGCGCTGGGACCCTGAGGTGGAGTGGCAATCTGGCCTTGGGACCCTCTCCCTACTTCGCCCCCTACCCACCCGTGCCCCCCGTCCCGTCAGGGAGGAGAAGAGGAGGGAATCGACTCATCTACGACGTCTCTTTTCTCTGTTCGTTTTCTTTTCTCGGGGCTGGCGACGACGGCGACGACGACGAAGATGGTAATGGCGTCTCTCACACGCAGATCGCTCGGCGAATTTTCAAAACACGATGACGATGACAATGAACATGACGACGATGCTGATGATGCTGCTGATGCTGATGATGCTGATGATGCTGATGATCATGATGCTGCTGCGGATGACGATTTATGGTGATGCTGTTACGATGACGATGCTGATTCTGACGAGTATGATGATGCTGATGCTGATGCTGATGCTGATGATGATGCTGACGATTACGATGGCGATGATGCTGATGCTGATGATGCTGCTGATGCTGATATTGGTGATGATGCATATGTTGTTGATGACGATGCTGATACTGCTGCTGCTGCAGCTCATGATGATGCTGGTGGTGGTGATGCTGATGATGCTGATGCTGCTGATGCTGATGAGGATTATGAGGAGTATGACGACGACGATGACGATGATTGTGATTGTGATGACGATGATGCTGATGCTGATGCTGATGATGATGATGCTGATGCTGATGATGATGATGATGATGATGATGATGATGATGATGATGATGATGATCATCATGCTGCTGCTGATGTGATGGTCATGATGGTGATGGTGTTAGTGATGATGGTGATGGTGTTGAGGACTCTGGCCATGGTGATGGTGATGGTGATTCTGATGATGAGGACGATGCTGATGCTGATGACGATGCTGGAGAGGATGAGGAGGAAGATGAGGAGCTGTAGCAGCAGTGAAGGGTTGGGATGGGAAAGAGAGGCGAGGATGATGCTGACTGCCGTCGTGATCCTCTCCCGCCTTTTCCGTTCCCCCTCCTCTCATCGTCCTCAGCCTGTTTTTTTTTCTTCCGCTCACCTTCTTCCTCCCTCGTCTCCTCAGCCTCCCGCTCATCCGTTCTAGTCCGCCACTTCCTCCTTCTGCACTCCCCCCTCTACCCAGATGTCGAGAGTCCTGCGTGCGTGGGCGAGCCAACCGAAGAAGACGTTGATTGATTATGCTGATGCTGATGGTGATGATGATGCTGACGATGATGATACTGACGATAAAGATGATGATGACGATGCTAGTGATGATTCTAGTGATGACGATGCAGATGACGACGAGGAGGAGGTTGACGATAAAGAAAGCGCCGATGAAACCGATCACGATGACGACGATAATGATGAAAATGAGGTCGATGCGGATGTGAATGACTAAGAAGGTGCTTACGAAAGAGTTGATGCAGAAGCTGATTCTGGCGATGCTGCCGATGCTGCTGCTGCTGATGATGAGGATTATGCTTATGATGATAGTCGTGACGGTGGCATAGATCATGTCTTTGATGATTAGTGTTCTGATGGCGATGCCGAGGACGAGGATGCTGATGCCGCTGATGATGATGATGATAATGATGATGATGATGATGATGAGGATGATGATGATGATGATGATGCTGATGATGATGATATGCCGATGCTGCTGAGGATGATGATGATGATGATGGTGATGACGATGATGATGATGATGATGATGATGCTGATGATGCTGATGCTGATGACGATGATGATGCTGATGATGATGATGATGCTGATGATGGTGATGATGCTGATGCTGATGATGATGCTGATGCTGATGACGATGATGATGATGGTGGTGCTGTTGCTGAAGCTGCTGCTTCTGCTGATGCTCCTGCTGCTGCTGATGCTGCTGATGATGTCGATGGCGATGCTGATGTTGCTTCTGCTGGTGATGATGATGCCGTTGCTGATGCTGAGGCTGAGGCTGCTGCTGCTGCTGATGCTCCTACTGCTGATGATGATTCTCATGATACTGCTGCTGATGCTGTTGCTGCTGCTGCTGATGCTCCTGCTGCTGTTGCTGCTGCTGCTGATGCTGATGATGATGGTGATGCCTATGAAAATGATGCTGCTGCTGCTGATCATGATGGTGATGCGGATGATGATGATGCTGATGACGCTGATAATGATGATGCTGCTGCTGCTGCTGATGATGATGATGATGATGATGATGAAGCTGAAACTGATGCTGCTGCTGATGATGCTCCTGCTGCTGCTGCTGCTGCTGCTGATGTTGCTGATCCGCTGCTGCTGCTGTCGATGATGATTCTGATGTGATGATGATGACGATGATGATGAGGATGGTGATCAGAATGATGATGATGATGATGATGATGATGATGAGGATGAGGATGATGATGATGCTGATGATGATGATGAGGATGAGGATGACGATGATGCTGATGATGATGATGATGATGCTGATGATGATGATGACGACAATGCTGATGCTGATGATGCTGATGCTCATGACGATGATGATAATGATGCTGATCATTGTGATACGGATGGCGACGGTTTTGTTGCTGCTGCTATTGCTGCTGCTGCTGCTGATGATGATGATGATGATGCTGAGGTTGATGCTGAAGCTGATGCTGCTGCTGCTGACGCTCCTGCTGCTGACGATGATGCTGCTGATCCGCGGGTGCTGATGACGATGCTGCTGCTGCTGCTGCTGATGATGATGATGATAATGATGATGAGGATGAGGATGAAGATGAGGATAACGATGATGCTGATGCTGCTGATGATGATGAGGATGGGGATGAGATGATGATGATGATGATGATGATGATGAGGAGGATGAGGATGAGGATGAGGATGAGGATGAGGATGCTGATGATGATGATTATGATGATGATGCTGCTGATGCTGCTGCTGATGATGATGATGATGATGATGATGATGGTGATGATGATGATGATGATGCTGATGATGCTGATGATGCTGATGATGATGATGGACGGCAGAACCAGGAAGACGGGCAGTGCGCCGACTGGCAAGGAAGATGTGCAGCGGGGCGGCATGGGGGGCGAGGTGGATGGGGGAGGAGGTAGCGCGAGAGGGAGGGCGACGGGGAGGGGTGAGGCAGAGGATGAGACGCAAGGTGGATCGGGCACACACTAAAATGGATTGAGGATCCGTGGGTCTAGCGCGTGGGCGCCAGATCCACGGATCGGGGAAAGTGCCCCCCACGAGACATGCAGCCAGTGCCGCCTGATTTTGTCGTCGAGCCTGTGTGGACACGGAGCTCGTCGCTAATCCATGCATCGCTAATCCATGTGTGCGTTTCTTTGATTGGAACAATCAGCAGGGAGAGAGAAGAAAGATGGGACGGGCGAGGAGGATCAGTATCTTCGGTGCCACCAGCGGCCACCCAGGTTTGAAGATTTCCGAGCCTGCTCTTGAGGCGAGGGCCTTGTGTAGTAATGCTAGCGCGCCGTATGATGAAGTGGAGGAGGCGCGGACGTCAGAATAGGAGGGGACAACGCAGGATAAGGGAGGCTGGGCGAGAAAGTAGGACAATTATATGAAACGGGAACGGGAGATGGTGTGCAGAATGGGGAGGAGGAGGAGGAGGATGGCGACGATGCCGACGGCCAGGACGACCAGGACAACGACTTCCACGACCACGTCGAGCACGGCGATGACGGCGGCTGCGGCGATGACGACCTCATCCCCCAAAGTCAGCACCTCTCCAGGGGCTCGTTCAGGCTTGGATTCCGAAGCGAGTCCAGCCGTGGTGTCGAGGGTCCACCGGGCGGCATTGAACGTGTGGAGACATGAATGTGGAACCCCATGTGTGTGAGGAACCGTCTGTGTGCGGTGCCCGTGCGGAGCATTATGGTCGACACCGAGCCATTGCGGTCCAAGCTGCGTCCACGCAGCAACGGCCATGGGTGGCACCGGACCAGGGGGGAGCATTCGCGGCCAACTGGGGCCGTGCGAGTCCAAGGACCAATGGGTCGGGGGTGGACAGAAACCCCAACAGCGACACGTCGATGAGTGAATTGTCTGTTTCCGGTTTTCGAGAGGGCGCCGTGGCCGTCATTTTCCAGGCTTGCGCCCGCCAGGTCTGGGCCTCAGGTCGTTTTCACTGAACCACGTTTTACCAAGGGCGCCCTCGAGGGCGCGAAGTTATTCGCGCTTCGCGCTTCGCGCTTCGCGCTTCGGCTCCGATTCCTCTTCATCCTCCTCTTCTCCCCTGGGAGGCGGCGCGAAAGCGCGAAGTTATTCGCACTTCGCGCTTCGCGCAGCGCGAAGCGCGAAGTTCGGAGCCCTTGTTTTACTAAAGGAAGGCCTGTCCATCCCCGAATGGGCGTGGGCAACGCACAGGGCCGGAGGGGCGGGGATCCGCGCTGGCCGTAGCAGGGCCGCGGCGGCCGACGCAGCAGCGGCCACGGCCACGGGCGGCACGCGGGGCCAGTGGAGCGGGAGGCCACGGCGGTGCGAGCAGCGCCACGGCGGCCCGCGCCGTCCCCGCGGGAGCGGCCGGCCCCACAGCACGGGGCCAGCTGCTTCTCGAGGGCAGGCGAGAGCTCCCCCCCGGGTGCCTGCTCTTGCACCGTCTGGGACGGAGTCCCCGCGAAGCGGCGGCGACGGCGGCGACGGCGGCGGCGTCCCCGCGACGGTGCCCCCGCGGACCCGCCGGCACGGTCGGGCTCGGCAGCGCGCGACCGCGGCAGCGGCGGCGGCGTCGACGTCGTCGACGACCGAGACCGAGACCGAGGCGGCGCCGTCGCCGTCGCCGTCGCCGGCCGCCGTCCGTCGCTCGCCGCTCGTCGCTCGCCGCCGTCGCCGGCGTTTTTTTTTTTTTTTTTTTGTTGTGTTTTTTGTTTTTTTGTTTTTTTGTTTCTCCTCGTCGCCGTTCTCGTCGGCCTCGGCCGTCGTCCGCTGCCGGGGCCCCGCGCCGCCGAGAGGTGCGCGCCGGCCCGGACGTGGGAGCTCCGCGCACGGGCGCCGTGCTGCGCCGCGGGGAGCTGTTCGAGGCCTCGGTGGCCGGGGGAGCCAAAAACGGCGGCGGCGGCGGCGACGACGCCGACGACGCCGACGACGACGACGACGAGGAAGACGAGGACGACGGCCAGGACGATGGCGAGGACGACGACGACGGCGGCTGCGTCGGCGTCGGCGGCGCTGGCGACGGCGACGGCGGCAGGCGGCGGCGGCGGCGTCGGCCTCTACCCTGAGAGTGCCGCGCGGCCCTGCGGCACCCCGGTGTCCACTTCGACGCGATCGGCCCGATTGGGCTGGCTCGACCCGGTTCGACTGCAATGTCTTCCGTCGGTCCGATGTGGCCCGAGGCTCCCATGGCGCTGCGGTGCATGCCAGCGCAGCCGATCCGATCTGGTTTCGGCCCTGTGCCGACGCGTTCCGAGCCGACGCACGCGCCGATGCGGCCAGGTTTTCCGATGCGATGCCGACGGAGTCCGCACCTGGCAGGCACGCGCGTGTGGCCGAGGGCCCCCGGTGCCAGCCCTCGGGGTCTGGGCGCGTGGGCGTGTTCGGTGGCAGCTCATGCTGTCACCGAGCGCGTTCCACTGCTCGCAAAGTGCCTACCTGCGACTGTCCGAACATCACATGTCGGCCTTGGTGCAATGTATCGTAGACCCCCCGCGGCGTATCCGGGCCATTTGCGAGCAGATACTTTGCGAGTAGTGAGTAGTGGAACGCGCTCGTCTATGTTGGGCTCGGGAGGGGCCCTGGTTTTCAGGGCCGTTCCTTAGATGCAGGTCGGGGAACCTCGTCGTGGCCGAGGCTCGGGGTGACCAGAAGAGCCTCTTCGTTCCTCATTATGTGTTCCTTGTGCCAGCACGATGATTGTATGTCCTCGGAATTCCGTCCCGGGCGCTAGCGTTTGGCAATCGTCGAGGAAGCGCCGATTTATTGTCGATCAGCGTCGAGTAGCGTCGACGCGCGTCGACTAGCGTCGATTTGCCTCGCTTAGCTTCGACTCGCGAGAGCCAGCAAGTTGACATGGGAGACTCCAATGAGTTTCCACGGAAGCCGTAGTCTCCCCCCATGGCTGGCGGCATCTCTGGGCGGCCAGGAGAAGTGCCGCTCACTGGGCCAAGGCCCAGGCGTGCGCACTGCGACACTGGGATGTTGAGCCGACGGCGGCAACGACGACGACGACAACGTTTTCCCGATGTGGGGTTTTGTTGGTTTTAAACGATTTCGGCGTGGGGGGGGGGGCGGTTTCTGTCCTCAGGGGCCGTCAGGAACCAATAGGTGGGGGAATCGACGCGTCGGTGCGGTGGTCGGAGGACACCAGACCAGTAATTATCAGTAGCCTGGAGACAGACATGTGACGCGGCTGGCCTGGGTTGGAGCCCCTTCTCTCTAACGCTGTTGAGGGATGCCGAAACGTGCCTTGGCAGCCACACCTCAAACTCCTCGCACGATCCCACTCGCGCCTAAAGACCCCATGCGCCCGTCTTAACACGCAGGCCTCATCCGGCCTCCCGGAGTCTTGAAAGATCGGGAGTGGACAGACCTCCTGCCCTGACACCGTCGATTGAGGAATTGTGGCCGTTTTCGGCTCGCGAGAGGGCGCCGCGGCCGTCCTTTTTGCGGGTCCGGGTCCGCCGGTTTCGGTCCCAGGCCGTTTTCACTAAGGGGAGGTTTACTAAAGGGAGGTTTGTCCACCGCCGAAAGGAGGGAGGAGGAGGGACGAAGAGGGGACGGAGAGGCGGAGGAGGGGGGAGGAGCAGGAGGAGGGGGGGGAGGAGGAGGAACATCGAGGCTAACGAGGGCGAGGGCGAGGGCGAGGAAGAGGAACATCGAGGCTAACGAGGGCTAAAGAAAGACTTGGGGAGCTCAGAGCCGGGCGTCAGAGAACGACTCCGCGGCGTCGGAGGCCCGCGGCCAGCGGCCGGCGATCGGCGCGCGCGCGCGCCCGTGCGGGCCCAGCCGGCAGGGCGAGCGCACGCCCTCTGGGCCCCGGGATGGGGCCGGCCAGCTGGGTCGGCGGCGTCGTCGGGGGCCGCGTAATGGGGGGGTCATAAATGGGGGATCCTCCTCCTCCTCCTCCTCCCTCCCCTCCTCCCTCCTCTCCTCCCTCCTCCTCCCTCCTCCTCCTCCTCCTCCTCCTCCTCTCCTCTTTCTCCTCCTCCTCCTCCTCCTCCTCCTCCTCCTCCTCCTCCTCCTCCTACTCCTCCTCCTCCTGGGGGGCGGCGAGTGTGGCCCGAAAAGGTACCCAAACGGTACCTAAACGAGCCCCCTGGGGCTCTGGAGGGGCCCGAAAGGGGCACGAAGGGGGACCTTTTCTGACCCCCCCCTTTTGTGACCCCCCCATGAAGCCACGCCCAACGGCGTCGGGGGCCTCGAGGCGGGGGCCAATGCAAACGGGGGTCCGCCAGAGCGCCCCGACCTTGCAGGATGCTGCAGGGCCGGGGTCGCATTGACCCGGGTTTGGGTGCAGGATCCTGCAGGATCCTGCAGGATCCTTCGCCATTGGCCCGGGGTTGGGTGCAGGATTTTGCAGGATCTTGCAGGACTCTGCAAGGCCTGACTGACCCGGGTCTGGATTGACCCGGGTCAGCAGGTCCCCGACGGCGCATCGCTGGCACCCTTCCAGGTGGTGGCCCCTGGCGCCGACGGCCGGGTGTACCTCAAGGTCCGTGCCGCCGCCGAAGGGGGGCCGCCGCCGCCCTTGCCCAGCTCCTCGTGGGGTGGGGGGGGGGGTGGGGGGGCCACACGCGAAGCCTACCCCTACCCCCCACGATTTCTGAGGGGGAGGGTGGGGTCCACTTCGTCTGGGAGCTCCCGAGCGAAGTGAACCCCACCTCCCCCTCAGATATCGTGGGGGGTAAGGGGTAGGGTTCGCGTGTGGCCCCCTAGGGGTGAGCGGGGGGGATGATCTCCAGGCCTCCCAGACGGGGTCGGAGTAGGTGCGGTCGGAGCATCGCAGACGTCGCCGATGCATCGCGGACGTCGCCAGTGCATGGCCGATGCGTCGCTGATGCATCGCCGATGCATCGCCGATGTATCTGCGATGCGGCGCGATCCTCCGACCTCGTCTACTCCGACCCCATCCAAGAGGCCTCCATGATCGGAGCGGGCCAGGGCGAGGATGAATCCGTTTCAGAGCGTTCGGGGAACGCTCTCAGTGAGGAGGCCGCGGCGCCGGAGACATGCTCCGTGGCCGCCAGGTCTCAGAGATTCTCGATACATCCTCACCCGGATTGTGCTCGTCCTAGCTTCGTCTTAGGGTGCGCAGGGGGGGTGATGATGGGGACGGTTGGTAATTCCAGGAGAGGACGGGGGGGGACGCGGGGGTGAGGAGGAGGAGGAGCAGCAGAAGGTGGAGGAGGAGGAGGAGGCGGAGGAGGAGGAGGAGGAGGGAGAGGATGAGATGGGAAGAGTAGGACATGGATGAGCAGGGGGAGAGAGAGGAGGAAGACTAGCAGAGGAGGAGCAGAACGAGGAGTAGTAGGAGGAGGAGGAGGAGGAGGAGGAGGAGGAGGAGGAGGAAAAGGAGGTGGAGGAGGAGGAGGGGGAGCAGGAGGAGCAGGAGGGGGAGGATGAGGAGCATGAGGAACCAGTAGTTGGAGGGGGATGATGTGGAGGAGGACGAGGAGGCGGATGATGATGGTGTTGATGATGATGATGTTGATGATGATGCTGTTGTTGATGATGATGAGGCTGCTGTCGATGATGCTGATGCTGATGCTGCTGATGATGCTTATGGTGATGCTGATGATGCTGATGATGCTGATGATGCTGATGATGCTGATGATGATGCTGATGATGCTGCTGCTGATGATGATAATGGTGATGGTGGTAATGGTGGTGCTGATGATGATGATGCCGACGATGATGATGCTGATGATGATGACTGCTGATGATGAAGGTGATGATGGTGATGATGATGATGATGCTTGTGATGATGTTGCTGATGATGACGATGATGACGATGATGTTGATGCTGATTTTTGATGATACTGGTGGTAGTGATGATGCTGCTGCCGATGATGATGATGATGATGATGATGATGATGATGATGATGATGGTGATGACGATGACGATGATGATGATGATGATGATGATGATGATGATGATGATGATGATAATGATTATGAGGACGACGACGACGCTGCTTACGATGATGAGGCTGATGATGATGCCGATGATGATGCTGCTGGTGATGATGATGATGCTGATGATGCTGCTGCTGATGATTGTGATGATGATGCTGCTGATGCTGCTGATGCTGGTGATGATGGTGGTGGTGGTGGTGATGATGCTGATGATTATGATGATTGTTGTGATGATGATGCTGATGCTAATTGTGATGGTGATGGTGATGATGATGATGATGACGATGGATGATGATGATGATGATGATGATGATGATGATGATGATGATGATGATGATGATGATGATGATGATGATGATGATGATGATGATGATGATGATGATGATGATGGCGATGCTGATGATGATGATGATGATGATATGATGATGATGATGATGCTGATGATGATGATGATGATGATGCTGATGATGATGATGATGATTGATGCATGATGATGATGATGATGATCATGATGATGATGATGATGATGATGATTGATGATGATTATGATGATGATGATGATGATGATGATGATGCTGATGCTGATGATGATGCTGATGATGATGATGATGATGATGATGATGATGATGAGGAGGAGGAGGAGGAGGAGGAGGAGGAGGAGGAGGAGGCGCAGAGTACGAAGTCGTTGTCGTCATCGGTGTGGATGTTCTGATGGTGGAGGAGGAGGAGGAGGATGACGAGGAGGATGAGGAGGAGGAGGAGGAGCAGCAGCAGCAGCAGGAGAAGGAGGAGGAGGAGGAGGAGGAGGAGGAGGAGGAGGAGGACCCCACGCGTTGACCCCCACCTGCTCTCTCCTCTCCTTGAGACCAGGCGTTCCCCCCTGTCCTGCGCCGCTGGGGGCACTCCCATGTCGCCCTAACCATTCTGCCAGGTTGGCGGATGCACGGCAAGAGCTTGTTGGAGAACAGTCGATGCACTCCTTGCTCCCCCTCGCCCTCCTCGTCCTCGTCGTCCTCCTCACCATGCCCGTCTCGTCTCGCTCCCCCTTCCTCGTCCGCCTCCGCATGACGCTCCTCATCCTCATCCTCATCCTCATCCTCATCCTCTTTCATCATTGTGTTTATCATTTTCTCGGTTCCGTGTACTTTGGCCTCAAGGCTTAATTCTGGTGGCTTTGTGTTGAACTGAGCAGCAATAATTCGCAATTCATTGCAGGGCGTTCTCGTTCTAGTGTCTTGCCAGGGCATCTTTATTTTGACGTCATGGTTATTATGCGGTATGGTATAATTTCCGCTGCAGAAGGCCAGCCGTTTTTGGTAATCCAAGGCGAGCGCTGAAGTCGTATGATGGGTGGGATGACGTGGCTCAAACCATACGGCTAGCACTTCAGCTATTGTTCATGTCAGAAGCATGCATCGCCATGGTGATAGAATTCGGTCCTTCTACACCAGCGCCGATAGGAGTGAATGAGGCGCCTCGTATCATATCATATTACAAACGATGGCGGAAGGAAACGTACAGCAGAGATAATTATGGGTAGGGCCATCCGTGTTGACTGTGTGGCCTGCGTCGGGCTAAGACGCGGGAAGCTGCAGCTCTCAGCGTTCTGAAGGAGGACCTTGTTCTTCCCACAACCGCGACGCTGTCAGTTCCTGCTCGAAACTGCTTTATTTTGCGTTGAGACCACGAAGGGGGCAGGCTCTGAAAGTCTCCTGCCAGTACTCAGATGGACAAGGACAGCTTCGTGCCCAGCTGGAAGGGCTCCGGGAGCTGTCAACTGCAGAGCTGATCGTGCCGCTGCCCTGCTTTCCGCCGCCTCCTTCGAAGACCTCCTTGGCATGTTGTTTGGTTCTCCAGGCCGAGCCACCTCGCGCCGTAGAAGCTGAGCTGATGGGAAGTTCTCGGCAGCTTTTTCGGCGTCTTGGGCCCCGGGGTCTTCACGGCAGGTTCATGCGGCGTTGGCGCGCCGGCGATGCTGGCGAAGGCGCTCAAGGTTGAACCCTGCGACGCGGAAGCGCCGAGGCCTAACGGAATTCTCTTTGAACGACCGGGGGCGCGATCGATTCAAGATTGAACGGTCGACGCGGTGTCAAAAACCTCTGCGCGCGCCGACGCCGCGCGCACCTACCGTACTGGGCCCTTCTCTCAGAAAACTATCACCAGGGAACCCCGAACCCTAGCAACATAGGGAAGACGTGGCCTCACTGAGGTCCCCGTCTTTGCATGAGAGATAATGAATCTTGGCGCTCTGGCTTGATACACCCGCAGGAAAGACCTCCTGTCCCTAATGTCTTCGGCCCTCCGAACTAAAGGGTCAGGGGCCCTTATCTTTTAATTGCAAATCAGACTGCCAAGGATGAGAAGCTGGTCCCGGGGAGAGTCTCGGAGTCAGGTGTGGATCTCATGGCGGGGGCCATAACATCTCCCCAGATTTCGTGGCCCCTTGCTCTTAGTTCATGACGTCCCCGGCCCCCCCCGGGGCCGCGCACGCGCCGCTGGCCATGACTTGCACCCCCCCCCTCTTGCCCCCCTCGTGGACGCCCCCGAGCTCCGGGGATCGGCGCCGTGGAGAACGGCCACGGCTGCGGGGCCCAGGGCCGCCCCGCGGCGCTGTGTGCCTTTTGCCCCCGCACGGTGGCCTCACTCGCGTATCCAGTGCACACCGCCGCGCCTCACCCGCCAGCGCAGTGCCTCTGCCCGGCCGGCGACGTCAACAAGTGTGTCTTTTGCCTCGCGAGCTCCACCTCCGGGTGGCCGCCTTCGGGCGCCACAGCCGTCCCAACAGGAAGGAGGGGGGGCGGACCCCCTGGACGCGCTCCGTCTCACGCCGCTGGCGCCGGAGCTCACGACCCCGCGCCGGAGCTGTTTTTTTTCAGCCTTCCGAGGAGGAGGAGGAGGAGGAGGAGGAGGAGGAGGAGGAGGAGGAGGAGGAGGAGGATGAGGAGGAGGAGGAGGGGGGAGGAGGAGGGGGAGGGGGGAGGAGGGCGGGACATGTTTTTGTTGTTTGGTTTTTGTTTTTGTTGGCCGAGGCGCCGCTTGCCTTCCTCCCTCCCTGTCCTTCCCCTCTGTCTCCCTTCTCCCTCGTTCCTCCTTCCTCCTCCTGGGCGAGGGCACTGACGAGGGGTCCACCCCCTTCCCTCCCCAACTCCCCCCTCCACATCGGCCAAAGCTGTCGACGGACAGCAAGACTACGACGGCGACGGAGGTCGGACAGTAGACGACGACGACGACGCCGACGACGACAACGACGACGACGACGACGTGTTCGTTCCCGTCGCCGTCGCGGGTCGCCGCCGCCGCTGCCGTCGTCGTCCCTGTCCCCGTCGGCGCCCTCGCGGCCGCCAGCTGGCTGGCGCCCGCGGCTGGGTTTTCGACGACTCAGGCGTGGACCCCGCGGACCCGTCGGTGAGGCCAGCGGGGGGCGCGCCTGGGGGGGGCTGCGCTGGGCGGCGCTGGACGATGACGGCGACGCGGGCGGCGGCGCTGGGCGGCTTTGCGGCGGGAGGTGGCAGCGTCAACAGCATCAGAGGCGACGTTGGCGGCGGCGGCGAAGGCAGCGGTGGCACCGACGTTGGAGGCTCAGAGTACGAAGTCGTTGTGGTCATCGGTGTGGATGTTCTGATGGTGGAGGAGGAGGAGGAAGATGACGAGGAGGATGAGGAGGATGAGGAGGAGGAGCAGCAGCAGCAGGAGAAGGAGGAGGAGGAGGACGAGGAGGAGGACGAGGAGGAGGACGAGGAGGAGGAGGAGAGGAGGAGGAGGAGGAGGAGGAGGAGGAGGAGGAGGAGGAGGAGGAGGAGGGGAGGAGGAGGGGGAGGAGGAGGAGGAGGAGGGGAGGAGGAGGAGGAGGAGGTGGAGGGTGCTTCAGACAGTTGTCGAAGGCCCTCGGATTCCCGCTGGCCTTTGGAGGGTTCCGCATTTTTGAAGGGAAGAGGGAGCAGGAGGTTGAGGAAAGGGAGGGGAGATAATTCGATCCAGGGGGACCTGGCCGGGGCCAAGTCTCTCCCTTGCTAGTCTCACTTCGCCAGGGCGTCCACGCGCTCAGTCTGATGAACAACTTCAGAGAGCTGGGTACGAACCCGATTCTCTGCTCCGTCCCCCTCCCCGTCCCTCCCGCCTCCCCCCCCTCCCCCCCCCCCTGGCCCTCCTCGCTCCTCGCATCCCTCCCCCAGTGCCCTGCCCTCCCGCCTCTGCCCTCCCCCCCCCTCGCTCTCTCCTGCTCTGCCCGCCCTCCTGGGGCGGCGAGATCCATACCTGTCGACTGCCGCTGGCCAGGGCCACCCATGGCCAGGAGCGGCGTAGCTCCGCAGCCATTCTGGCTCAAGGCAATCTGCGGCAAAAGCCTTGCAGATACGACAGCGCCTCCTGCAAAGCCATCAGAGCAGGCGCCGGGATGGCGGCGTCAGCGCCCATCTGCTCGTATGAGGAGGCGTCAGAATCGGAGCAGGCTCATATGAAGAAGTGCAGGCACATTGAACTCAAGGGCGTGGTCATCATGAACCCAGTCGTGTTCTTCGTTTCCTGCATCTTCTTGTGGGGCTTCGTAATCGCTTGCTGCGTCGAGCCAGACTACATGAAGTACGCCATGGACGAAGTCGCCTGGGGATGGATCCCAGAGGTGTGGACATGGTTGTACATAGTCTCTCAAGACATTTGGGTTGTTGTCCTCCTCTGGGCGATGTACGCGCACGGCAACCTCAAGCTGGGAAAGGACGACGACGAGCCAGAGTTTAGCACTGCTACTTGGTTCTCGATGTTATTCTGTTGCGGTGTCTCCACGGGCCTGTTCTACTACGCGGTGGCGGAGCCGATGTGGCACTATAAGGGCTCGGGATCGCCAAGGTTCACCTCTGGGACAAAGGGGTACGGCACTCTAGACGAGGACGCGACGCACGCGCTGATGGTGTGCGTCTTCCATTGGGGCTTGCACGGCTGGATCCCCTACGTGGTGATGGGTGCCGTGCTGGCTATCATGAGCTACCGGCGCGGATACCCAATGACCGTCCGCTATGCGTTCGTGCCTCTCATCGGCGACCACGTTTACGGCTGGATGGGCGACTTCGTGGACGCCCTCTCCATCGTCACCTCTATCGCGGGTGTCTGCACTTCTCTCGGCTTGGGCGCCATGTCGATCAACGCCGGGCTTCAGCGCCTCAGCTGGGGATCATTCCGTGGTGTGAACTACGCCATTCCAGACGAACAGAGGTACGCTGATCCTGGATGCAATGGACAAGGATATAGTTGCAATGATGGAATTGGAGAGGAGTCTTTTGGCGTCCAGCGAAACACCACGACCCAGATTCTGGTCATCCTGATCATCACTTGCATTTCAACCGTGTCGGTGGTGTTGGGCCTCAGTCGAGGTATCAAATTCCTCTCGCAGTGTGTCTTTGCGATGGGCACTTTCTTGATACTTGTTGTAGCGTTGAATGGCGAAACTTACCTCATCCTGGACAACATTGTTCAGGTTACCGGCTACTACTTGTGGTATATCGTCAAAATTGGTTTCCATTGCGATTCTTGGGAGCGTCTCGGCGGGAAAGACATGGGCCTCGGCGGAGTTGACAAGGGTGGCAGTCCCACGTGGATAATCGACTGGACCATCTTTTACTGGGGCTGGTGGATCTCCTGGGGACCTTTCGTCGGCACTTTTATTGCGAGGATCTCCAAGGGCAGGACTCTTCGTGTGTTCATTATGTCCACGCTCATCGTGCCCACCCTCTATAGCATCGTCTGGTTCTGCGTGTGGGGCACCGAGGGCATCCGCATGCAGCGCATGGCAGACACGAGCGGCCTTTGCAATCAATCCGACGCGGGCAACGGGGACTGGGCTGCACAGTACGATCTGGAGACGAAGACGAACTTGAGCATGGGCTGGACCCCCGCATGCGTACTGGACGACGCCTACCACGGCGGCTATGGCAGGTGCAAGAGGGTGAAGTTCACCAGCTATGTGGACCCGTCTATCGACGGCAACGGCAAGAAGTGCGTCAAGACCACCAATTGGGTAACCGTTCCTTGCGGCGGCGCTGACGATCCCACCTTTGTCAATACCACGTACGTTGATCTCATTGGCACTGAGTGCGCAAACTACATGAGTGAGATAGAAGAATTGGCCGCTGATAACTACAACAAGTTCCCCGACGCCGAGCAGCACGATTGCTTCGTCCCCCTCCAGGACGGCACTGTGTGCTTGTCCAACAGGGCCACGGCGGACATTCTCTTCGATCAGATCTCCAGCTACGCCCCGCGGGGCTACTCCGACATGTTGTGCACGCTTACGCTCATCATTTTGACATTCTACTTCGTAACCTCGTCGGATTCCGGCTCTTTCGTGGTGGATATGCTGGCCTCCAACGGTCACCCAGACCCGCCGATGTTCCAGCGGGTCTTCTGGTCCTTCACGGAAGGCGCCACGGCCATCGCTCTGTTGTATTCGGGCATCAACCACCCGAACGCAGACGCCTCGCTTCGTGCCCTGCAGGCTGCGTCCATCATCGCAGGCCTGCCCTACACGTTTGTCATGTTCTGGGCCACGCAGTCGCTGGTCATTCTGGTCCGGGAGGAGAGCGGAGCGCTCGACCCCAACCGGAAGGCTTTCACGACGTTCATCTTCAACATGGAGTACAGCGTGAATCATCTCAAACACACGGCCGTACCTGGCGTGCAAATGGCCAAAACCGTAGTCGAGGTCGGCAAGTGGCCTTTCAGCGGCGCTGGCGACGGCCCCACTTTTGTGATTTGGTGTGTCTTCTTCTCGGTGCTGTACTATGCCAGCATTATCATCACCATCTGCGCCGCGGCCATGTACCAATGGGCGCTCATCGGTTGCGCACTGTACATCGGATTCGGCACCTTTGTGGGCCTGCTCCGTAATCATGTGCGCGTGACTCGGTTCATCAAGAATGGCGACCTTCCCACTGATTTGATGTGCGGCCTCTTAGCGCCCATGTTCACCCTCACCCAGATCGAGGTTGAGTTGCAGGATGGACCCCTCGAGAAGAAGGACGACGACCCTGCAGATGATAACAAACGGGTCTGACCCTCATGGCGGACGAGACGGCGCCGGCCCGCTCGTGCGCACATCCGGAATTGTTTGAAACCACCGAATGCACTAATATTCTCAACGATGATGATGCTTCTGTACAGGTCAAAACCTCGGTCTTTCGATGGTTTGTCTGCCATACTGACTGGGGACTCCCTCTCGCGGATTGAAACTGTTGGGCACGCAGGCCAGGCTGAATTTATTGCGTCCCGCCCCCGAGCGGACGTAGTTGGACAAGGAGCTGCAGCAAGTCGGTTTCTTGTTCTCCCATCGCCGTACTCGCAATTGGCTTGAGGTTGCAGCATGTTGCGGGTTACGACAATGATCGTCATGTGCGCGGCATACTCATACCGGTCTGCGACTGCTATTTTAATGTTGCCAGAGAGGTCCGTTCGCGCTAACTCCTTCGTAATGAAGTCTGAGCGCAAGTTGAGGCACAAGTATAGTACATATCCACATGCTCTACGTAAACGGTCAAAACAATTGCCAGGAGCGGTGTACCGGCCCCCCCAGCACGCCCAGGGAGGCATGTACACCGCTCCTGGGCCCAGGATGGGCCTGACCAGCGGCGGTGGATCTGTATAGCAGGGCGCGGGTTGAGCGGTGTTTGTGCGACCGTGAACCATTTTCTTTTTGGTTTGGCTTTGAGGCAAGGGCAAAGCGAAATCATAACTAACAAAGGATGTCGACGACACGCAAAATCAAAGCACCGTTGAGCTCGAGCATTGATGTGCAGATCTCGTTGCCCTCCCCTCCCCTCTGATGACTGCGACTGCGCTGTATTTGCTGCGGTTATCCTTGGGCGTCGCCGCCGCTGCTGCCGTCTGTCGTCTGCATCGGGCACGACGCCGATGGTTGAGCACCCGTGCCCACCGGCACCGCCAGGCGGACGTTAGATGGCCGAAAGGGCGTCGGACAGAGAGGGCACGGGAAGCAGGCGAGGGGGGGAGCGCGGAGCTGAGCACGATGGCATTTGCCTCAACGTCCCCTGCGACCGCGGGGCAGGAGTCATTTCGACTTCTCCAGCTCGATTCGACGCGACTATTTACGTTGCCCCTCTCGTTGGCCTCCCCTCCCCTTGCAAGGGGGCGCCTCGCAGCACCGCCCGCGCGTCAAGGGCCCCAGGCGCCTCGCGGAGGAGGAGGAGGAGGAGGAGGAGGAGGAGGAGGAAGGGAGGAGGATAGGAGGAGGAGGAGGAGGAGGGAGAGGAGGAGGAGGTGGCAGGGCGAGGGCGGAGCGCGAAGCTGAGGAGCGCGGAGCTGAGCACATGAGGGGATATGCCTCAGCATCCCCTCCCCTCCCCTCCCCTCCCCTCCCCTCTCCCATCGTTGCCCTCCTCGGAAAGGGGCCAGGGCGAGAGGAAGTCCGCTACCGAGCGTGAGCGTTCCGCGACGCTGAGCGGGCCGCGGCGCCCGAGACCTCCTCCAGCGCCGCCAGATCTCGGAGGTCCTCGATCCACCCTCGCCCGAGGCGGTCCTCGCCCTGGCTTCGCCCTCCCCGCCCCTGGCAGGGGGGGGGGGGGCGCCTCGCAGCACCGCCCACGCGCCCCCGGCCCGCAGGCGCCTCACGGGGGAGGAGACGCTGCCGTACCAGCCGCGCCTGGAGGCCCCCGATCGGGCCCCGGGCCCCCCCCCTCCCGCGGGCGGGCGGCTCCACTGGGAGGGCCGCGCGGAAGCCTTTTTGCGTGGGGGCGGCCCAGCGCAAGCCCATGCCGAGAGACACCCCGCTGGCCTCCAGGACGCCTCTGGGCTTCTCGGGTCTCGATGGCTCTGCAGTGGGGAGCGCGACGTTCCCGCACCAAGGATCCCCAGGGCTGGACCTAAACGGCGTTTTGGCGATTTCGTGGACCGTTTTCGTTTCGACTTCGTTTTGCGGCAGAGGCGGATTGAAGACAAAACGAGGGAAAACGAGAACACAACGAAACCGAAAAACACCGTTTAGGTTCAGCCTTGCCATGGACGTCCTGGGGTCTCCCTCCTCCTCCTCCTCCTCCTCCTCCTCCTCCTCCTCCTCCCTCCTCCTCTCCTCCCCCTCCTCCCCCTCCTCCCCCTCCTCCCTCCTCCTCCTCCTCTTCCTCCTCCTCTCCTCTCCTCCTCCTCTCTCCTCCTCCCTCCTCCTCCTCCTCCTCCTCCCCTCCGTAGCCATTTTGGCCCAAGTCCGGAGCGACGCGGCTCAGGTTTGAGTGTGGCAAGGGGGAGGTGCGCCCCCACCTGCGATCCTTGAGGCACCTTCTCTCAGGATTTTTTGTGAGCTCCTGGAGGAGCATCGGTATCCAACCTTCTCGTGCCCCAGCGGGCACCCCTTTTGTTCGTGTGAGCTCCTGGAGGAGCCCATGGGCAAGCAAGATGCGAAAAAAATCGTCTCGTGTGTGGCGTGCAGGTACAGGTGGACTTGGAAGTCCAGGACCTTCTGCTTCAACTGTAACGCCCCGCTCGCCCCGCTCGAGATGCCGTGGCGCGATGTGGCTCAAGGGGTGTGGGCCCAAGGAGGCGGCGGCAAGCAGGGGGCTCAGCGTCCGCCAGCGGTCCCTCCAGGCGAGTGGCAGTGGTCGCCCAAGCCGCAGTCCCTCTTTGGGCACCGTGGCTCCACGCCTCCGCCGCGGGGGGCGCCTGCGGGGGAGGGCGGCCTCGCGACGATCGGCCGCCTGGCGCAGCTCAAGCAACGGCTCGCGGGATCGGCGTCGGTGCAGGAGCTCGAGGCGCTTGAGAGCGCCATCAGGCCCCAGGGTCCGCCGAAGGAGGTCAAGCCTGCGCGCCCGCCGCTGCTGGAGGCCACGGTGTCTGCCAAAGGGGTCGCCTGCCGCCGCGCCGAGGCCAACTTGGAGCAGTGCGTCGCCAAAGAGGGCGATACCAAGGCTTGGTTCGAAGAGTGCCGAGAAGCGACAGCGCTGGCGGCGCAGTCGGCGGTGCAGGCCAACTTGGCGTGGCAGGCGGAGCTGCAGCTGGAGCTCGACCGTGCAGGAGGTGCTCGGCCCCCCAGCTCACTGTCTGGCACCTCGGCCGCGGCGCCAGCGGGCGCCCCTCAGATCAACCTGTCGCAATTGCTGCACGCCGAGCAGGCTAGCGACACGGTGGAGATCATCGGCGGAGACTTGCTCGACCTGTCGGACCTGGAGGTGGAGGGGCAGGACAAGAAGCGCTGGCAGGATATCAAGTCCAACATGGGCAAAGAGATTCGCGCCGCCATCGTGGCGGCCATCGGGCACAGTGCGGAGAAGATTCAGACTCTGCGCCAGGAGGCCCGAGAGTTGCGAGAGCGCCTGGCCGCCAAGAGGCCTCGCCGCGAGGATCCTGCCTCGCCTGGAGGCTCGCCAGCTTCGCCAGCCGAAGGCCCGGGGGGCCCAGTGGCTGCGGCTCCCTCGCAGCATGATGGCGCTGCTGTTCCTGCTGGACAGCCTCCTGCCGACGGTCCGGGCGGAGGCGCGGCCGCTGCTGCCCCAGCCGCCGCCAGCGGAGCTGCCGCTCCGACTGCGGCCAGCAGAGGAGGCCTTCATGGCCCAGGTGCGGGCGGCGGCTTGCCCTCCCCAGAGCAGACAGCAGCTGCCGTCGCAGCCGCTCGTGACCGAGTGGTAAAGAAGTCAGTGTGGTCAGCCAGCCTTTCAGGATGGGGCTACCGCCGCCAGGCATTGCGGTGCGGTGGCCCCGCCTGATCCTGATCGGCAGCGCCGCGATTTTGTCATCGTGATGTCTGGCTGGAGTGCTCGGTGGACCTGGGACTCAGAGGGCCAGGCGTATTTGAAAATTCTGTCTTGGATGGACTGGTGTGAGCCGTGGTTACGTGAAGTTCTCAGCCAGGCAGGCAATGCTCAGCTCCGCCGTGCCTTTTTGCTGAGGCACAGCCCCGTGCGTCGAGACAGTCCTGGTGGATTTTTGTGCAGCAGCGGTTCGGGAAGCCTGTCTTTCGGCGTGGGCTAGAGTCAGAGGTCGGCGCGACAGGTCCATCGCTATGATGAGGCCGCTGACCCAGGCAGTCTGGCAGCCTTTCGCCGCGCACCACTGGGCCCCGTTGCAGAGCGCCATTGACGTGTTCCGCGCGGTGCTGGATCGCCGCATGCGGTCCGAGTTTTTGGGGCGCCCAGCCGTCCTTGGGGGGCCTAGAGGCCCGGGGCCTGGGCAAACCCTAAAGGCAGAGGGTAGCGGACAAGCGAGGGAAGCCGCAGTCATGCGGGTGGTCGAAGCCCCCCCCCCCCCTTGCCCTGCCTCCGCCTCGGGCCGCTCGCGGACTGCGGCCCCCGGGCCGAGCGACCCCTCCCGAGCTGGGCTGGCTTGGCGTTCCCGTTCTTTTTCGGCCCCATCGTCGAGCGGCTGTCTGTCGGATTGCGCCGTGGTCGACGGCGATGGAGGCCGCCCTCACTTCGCCGAAAACAATGGTTCTGACGGCCAGGCTGAGATCGAGATGCTCACTCATAACTCCAATGCCTGGTCTACTGGCCTCGAGCATTTGGAATGGGCAAAGGGGGGTAAGGGTCTGGTGTACGACGCCGTTTTTTCGCCCTTTGGACCAGCGGCCAAGACGGGCTCAGGCGACCGAGAGACATCAGGTGGCACCGCGATTTTGGCCAAGACGCAGTTCGGCTCGGCTAAGTTTCTGCGCGCGAGGACCTCCTACAGGCTCGTGAGTCGGATGGTCACAGTTTCCATGCGGAACCAGATCCTCTTTGCGGCGGTCTACGGGCGCACTACCCTATGCCTAGCAGGGGCCAATCTGGACTTTCTCGACCACGCCAGTGAGGTTGTGACTGATGCGGGCATCCCCTTCGTCATTGCATTAGATTGGAACATCGATGCTGAGGAGCTTCGCCAATCGCGGTGGACAGGGCATCTACGATCTAGTATCATCTGGCCTCGAGGCCCAACTTGCAATGGCAGGTGCTACGATTTCTTTGTGGTCAGTTCCTGCCTGGACTACTGCATGGGGCAGGCCCAGAGGATCGAGGGCACTCCTGTCGGTCCTCATCAGGCCGTAGAGGTAGTTCTCAAAGGCCTTTCAGGCCCCAA